TGAACTTGGTAATCCTTGTGGGTCCCTCCCAGTTGAGGATATCCTGTGATTCGGTTGTGATCTGCCAGCTCCCTGCCTGCAAGTATGGTCTCCTCCTGCTGGAAACCAGGGCATTCAGCAGAGCTGGGGGGAGGGATGCACATCTGCATCTTGTGAGATGAGCTCCAGGTACGGGCTGGGAAGGAGGAAATGCCAGCAGTCCCTGTAGCTGGATGCATTCCTTACTAGTCCGTGAGTGCAGCAGGTTGTGTGGGTGGAACACTGGCTATTGTGGATCCTGCCTTACAGCAGCTGCTGCGTTGGGCAGAGGTAGCTTAGGAGCAAAAGCTGAGGGTTACCCTGTTTCAGTAGGGGAGTTGCCTAGCACAGGGTTCCCTAGCAAGCCTTCTAGACTGGAATTGCTGCAGTAATATTGTGCTCCTGGGAAGAGCGTGAGTACTAAGTTTCTGTTTAAAAATGTTACTAACCTAGAGTTTTCTCAGAGCAGATGTGGATGGTTATCTTGTGCATCTGTAGTGATCCAAGTGGTGTCTGAGAGCTTGTGTGATTGCTTTAGAGCTCTGATGCTGGGCCACATGGGGAAGTTCCAAGAACTGGAAGGATAGAAAATGCAATGCCCTACTGCTTCCCAATATATTAATTTCTCTCCACCATTTGTGTGTTTGTAATATATACGTGGACATATGAATACATATATATAAATATATGAAAGTAGGTATTAAAAAGACCTTTTGTTAGAGATCATTGTATTACACTGTAGGCATGATTGATTTACAGATAGGCTCTTCCATCTATAGATCCTGGTCTGTTGTTTCTGTCATGTTTATGGGAAAAGTTTGTCATATAAATCTGATTTAATGAAAGATGAACAGTATGCCTAGTTTCATTTGGCTGCATGCTGCTGTTGTCCCAGTGATTCAGATAAAATCGCTGGTGCTCTGGTTTTCTCTGCACGTGTCTGTGCTTGGTCTAAGGTATCAAGGAAAAACCTTCAGAAATCCTAGCTTTGAGTGAGGAACAAATGCTGGTTTATCTGAAATGAGAGGTCAGTTTTCAGGTGTGATTTTAATTTGTAGGGTTTTGGGGGTTGAGGGGAATCATTCCTGCTTAGCAGTGCCCTCAGTATTTAATATCCTATTTTTCTTATTCCTCTTTTCCTTCTTAAGTGAGGTTGGAATAGCTGATACCATCGATACAGATCAAAATGATTTATGAAGGAAAAAGTTCTAAATAGGAGTGCAGTGAATGTTTTCACCAGTTCTCTTCATGTGAAGCAATTTTTCTACCTATTAATATGATACAAGCAATCAAGAGATCATTAATTTATTCCTATACTGGAGTGGGTTCACTCCATGGAATTTAAGTTCAGCAACTCATTAAGAGTATTCTTGTGTCTTAAATAATACTGTTGTTATTTTAAATATCTCAGATTTTTAAGAGATCTAAACTTAAATCCACTCCCTGTTGAATTAATGGAAGAACTTATTAGGGTTCAGGGTTGTTTTTTTGTTTGTTTGTTTTGATTGTTTTTTAATGATTATCATTTGTATTCTGAAGAAAGATCTTTCAAAATATTTGAAGAGAATGTAAGGAGAGTTAACCTGTACATGAATTAGTTCAAACATGTGACTGTAAGTGCAGTGGGGAGTATGGGAAGTCTGTAATCTGTACTGACTCACCAGCATGTTGACTTATTGCTGGTTAATGTTCACTGAAGATTTTACTCCTGCTGTGTTTGCTGTCACTTAGCAACTCTTCGTATACAAGGAAAACAACCTGCCCTAAGTAGAAGTTTGTTGAATATCAGTGAAGACTACCTGTCTAATGTTTGAGTGTGATAGATGGACAGGCACATACCTTTTGGGAATTCCTCTTTTTATCCGTGTTTTTTTGACCTTTCTTCTGACTGTGTGCTTGTCATCCAGTAGGAGACGATATCAATGCATTTGATCAAAGAAAATCTATCGTCTTAGTTCCTAGAAGTAAGAACTGAAGTATGTTGTTCTTTGTTCACACTCATTTCTTACTGTAGGTTAGTGAACATCTAACCAATTTATTCTGGCTAGGAAATCTCTTTAAAGAGGAGGAATCAAAAGTGTTTGCTGGGATTCTCTTTATCCTTCAAAGGAGAAAGGGCTGCTCATCAGTAGCTGCTTTGCTTCTGAACTGTTGGATGCAATAAGGACTGCTTAACAAGAGGTCTGTTAATGTAGCAGAATTACAGAAAGATACGGATGTCAGTTCCAGAAATGTGGTTGTTATTTAGTTTAGGGTTGGGGTTTTTTTTTGCATTTTATTTTAATTCAGTCATCCACAGGAGCTGAAATACTTTGTGCAGTGAAGTCTACATTTATTTCTCCACTCGATTTGTGTTACAGCATTCTGTATTGATTTTTGTTCTAAAATCCACTAGTAGCACAGTGCATTCAGAAGAAGACAATTGAAACATTGCCATCAAAACTCTTTGGCAGTTATAATAAATATTTTCTAGCTATAATGAAGATCTCTGACACTTGAAAGAGTAAGACTCCAGTGGAGACTCTGGTTCATTTTTTTTTTTTTATAGCTTCTGCTGAAGTCTGTGAGGAGTTTGGTTTTGAATAAGAATTTCACTTTGTTGAGGAGACTTCTTAAATTCATTTGAAGGGATAAAAACTGTAAGGTGTGCTGAGGCATTTAACTCGTATTTGTTCCTGTTGAATACAGAGCTTTGCTACAAAGACTTTTTCTCTTGTTTGCAGATGATGTTTGTAATGCATGTATGTATTAGCAAAGAACAAGGAAATTGAAGCACATGTTTATGCAGCCTGAGAAAATACTTTTGCTAAGGCTGTTGTTCAAAAATTCAGAAGTAAAATAACTGAGATTCTCTCTACCTCATTTACTTTATTTTTTTCACGTGTGCAGTTTTCATTTCCAAACTTATCCAAGAAGTATGGTTTGTTTTGTGTGAGGATCTTTGTATTTTTTGCTGCTCTCTGAAACTGTTCAGCATTTTATAACGCTTTGGTTTTGAAGTCATGTTTTTATTTGCAGAACATTCCTACCTGCAGTTTATGCTGTTGTGCAAATTGCTCTGCAGAAGTCGAGCAGGCTGCCTAGAAGATAAGGATCAGGGTGATTTTCATCTGCAAATTAGGCTTCTGAGCCTGAGCTAGCACTCTTTGGAGATGATAGAAAGAAACAGATTGGATGAATCATCCAGTGCAGGTGTCTGTTTTTTCTGACTGTAGAACGCTTAGGAAAACTGGCTTGGAGTTCTGGCTTTTTGATAAGTAGTTGGATGACATGATTCCCACCTGCGGCGACTACTTGAGGAAGAGTTCAGCTTAACTGCTTTGAAATGAAATTGCTCAGAACTCTGAAGTTGGAGGCAGGTTTAGGAGGAAGTTCTCCAGGGCATTGCATGCTGTCTTTGCTGTTGAATTTTCCTTTTTCTTCCTACAGCTGCCACAAAATGAGGCAGTACTTCCCCAGTCTGCAGTCTATTAAGCTACACAAATGGAATTCCTCCTAAGGAACTTGAGAGTTCCCTACATAGATGATTTGGGGAAAAGAGAGGGGTATTACTACATGTAAATCAGGTGTACCATGACATCCATGTATAAAATAGATTATGTAAGCACACTTAAGCAATCTTAATTCTGCTTTGTCTTGTGATCTTCTCTCACCTGTATACATGAATGCAGAAATCCCTGTATTAAGATGCTTACCTTGGAAAGAAACAGGCTGATAGGAACCAAGATTATCAGTGGTGTCATTAATACCTGTTGAGTCTGTTGAATTTGGAACTGTTGGACCTGTAGAAACCCCTGTTGTTTGAGGTATGTGATAGCACCTGAGCTATTATGAGCTAGAACCAAGAAGATTAAATAGTTTTTCAGCAAATTTCATGGTATGAGAAGAATGCAGGAGCCAGGTGGCATCAGTTGTGGTAAGAGTGACACCGTGTGTTAAGGTGAAGAATTTCACTTCTTATTTTATTACTTCTTATTTTATTTCCTATTTCTTCAGTACTTTCATAGTACTATTATTTTCTCATCCTTCTAGCGTTAAGGCTTTGCGTGCTTGTTTTGTCATGCTTTTTGTTTCCTACAAGTTATAAATTTCCATTTATACATCCCACAGCTGACTGGGTTTTAGCCAAGCGTCTTCCAAGAGGAGATGCAATATGCTGCAGCAGTTTCTTCTACTGATAAACTTGTGCCTAGATGTCTGTTTAGTAATTTAAGATCAGTATGTGTGGAAATAAAGACTTGTTGAAAGTGACTGGAAACTCAGAAGTCAGTAGGAAAGCAAAACAATAAAGGATGACAGTGTGAAGACTAATTTTGGAGAGCCGTGGTAGACAGATACTACAGTGCAAGAAATAGGTTGCCACTGATACTAGGAAAAAGTGGTAAAAGGCAGAGAAATGAAAAGTGAAATTGAAAGGCAGGATTTCTTGAAAAGGAAAAGGAGGCACTTCTAGATGTTGTAGTTGTGGAAAATTTGCTGCATCATTGAGATCAAGGACATAAAAAAATCTTTACAAACAACCTGTTTGCTGTTGGTGTATTATTCAGTATCCACGAGGGTAACATACAGGCTTGCATGTGATAGAGATTAGCTCATCATGAGGACTCGAGACGATGAAAAGCCAAATCTGATTTCAGGATGTGCCCCCAGCAATGGCCCCTGCTGGTATTGCAGGGGCAGCAATGTGCTGCTTGTAATGTGCATACAGGGAGGAAGGTGACATCCTCTGTTTTGTGTATCTTTTGAGGTTGGATATCTCTTAGGCTGGATAGGAGCACTGTAGAAGTCAGATCTTCCTAGGGCCTGCCATCAGACTGGATATGAGCCCATCTATGGGTTCTTTGAAGAGAGAAGGAATGCTGGTAGAAAGTTTCTTCCATGCCATTGTTAAAGAAAAATATGCTAGGTTCAATTACATAAGCTTGCTTGTTTGCTAACAACAATCTGTTCTCCTTTTGCTTCCTCTTTGTTTCTTTGTGTAGGTTGAATTCTCCTACCCGCCCCTGATGCCTGGAGAAGGACATGACAGCCACAGTTTACCAGAGGAGTGGAAATATTTGCCATTTCTTGCCTTACCAGATGGTGCTCACAACTACCAGGAAGGTAAGAAACTGGAGAGGAAGTTGCACATGTTGAGGCCTTCTACAGGCTTCTACTGTAACAAAAAAAAAGCACCCTACTATCTGAACAGTTGACAAACTATTCTCTTTGCTATTAGAGTTCTTGTACTTCTTGTTTAAGCTGCAGAATAATTGATACAAAACTTCAGAGATTCAAATGAAAATAGATCATAAAGGTGTACCTCCTGCGTGAAGAAAGCAGATGTCAAAAGCTCTCTTTAAAGGTTACATTGTTCTAATGCAAAAGAAGGCTGCCAGCTTTCTTTCAAGCCATTATCTGAGGCATGAATTAACTCCAGAGTAAAACCTAATCCACTATTGAGGTAAGGAAAAAATGAAGCTCTACAATTAAGCTTTGTAATGTATGATGTACTCATTATACATCTGGTTCTTCCACTAACTTCTAGTGATTCTACAAGTTGTTCTGTGTCTGTAGAATGACATTTTGAAAACCAGCAAATGTAAAAGGCAGGACCTTTAGAATATTTTGTCAGCAGAATAGAAAGATACATTGCTACTTTCACTGTGAAGTGTCTCTCTGCTCCAGGTCATAATTTTTGTTCTGTTTCTGCATTGCTAAGTATGTAATGAACAGTATGCTACATTCAAAGCTAGGAAAACTATATGTAGCCTCAGTTATTTGTTCCCTATTGGCTCAGCATCATCTCCGTTAATGCTCAACGTTGAGCAGTTTCATTGCTGCACTAAGAGATTATCAACATGTGTTTTTGGCAAGAAAAAAAATAAGGCAAGATGTGACAACAAAATGGGTGTAGAGCCCTGTGGTTTGTGGGTAAAAATGCACATGAACTTGAAATAAACAAATCTGCTTCAGATAAATTCCCTGTAAACATAAAATAACCGTTACTCCATTTCTATTTGAAATGGAGCTTTTAACTGACTCCCACTAACAGTTACATTTTTGCAAAGAGGATGACATGGTACAGGAAATATCTCCACGCTTACTCTAGGGAATAGTTTTGTAATACACAATTCCTCTTCCCACTGGACTTAATACATAGGAAGTTATCTATTCTATTCAGTTTGTTAGCAGCATTTTACTTCCTTTGTGTTATTTGATTTCAAAACAGGTATTCTACTTTCTGAAAGCCAAACAATCATGGTAGTATTTTTCCTTTCCTTTACTTATGACTTAGCAACTTTTGGCAGTAGCAGCCGTGTGTGTTTGTGTGTGTGTGTGTGTGTGTACCTCATGGCATAAGCCTCGCTCTTGCTATTTTTTTTCCATGTTACACTTGCACAGTGAAATGTTTTTGTGTTCTGGTGGACAGCAGGTTGAGGGAGGTGATCCTCCCCCTCTACTCTGCCCTGGTGAGGCCACATTTAGACAGTTGTGTCCAGTTCTGGGCTCCTCGGTTCAAAATGACATGGATCTCCTAGAAGGAGTCCAGCAAGGAGTCCACCACAAAGATGATGAAGGGCCTGGAGCATCTCCCCCATGAGGAAAGACTGAGAGACCAGGGTCTGTTCAGCCTGGGGAAAAAAAGACTGAGGGGGGGATCTGATTAATGTTTGTAAATATTGAAAGGGAGATAGGGGACAAATGGATGAGGCAGGTTCTCCTCCCTGGTGTGTAGTGGTAGGACAAGAAGTGGAAGGACAAGAAGGGCCTAAAATGTGAACGCGGAAAGTTCCATACAAACGTGCAGAGTAACTTCTTTAGTGTAAAGGTGACAGGACTGCCCAGGGAGGTTGTGGAGTCCCCTTCTGTGGAGGTATTCAAGACCTGTTTGGATGTCTACCCATGTGGCCTACTGTAGGGTCCCTGCTTTAGCAGGGGGGTGGACTCTATGATCTCTTGAGATCCTTTCTCAAGGATCCCTTTCCCTTTAGGGCCACGAAGATGGTGAAGGGCCTGGAGCATCTCTCCTATGAGGAAAGGCTGAGTGAACTGGGTCTGTTCAGCCTTGAGAGAAGAAGACTGAGAGGGGACCTGATCCAGGTCTATCAATATCTGAGGTGTGGGGGGCAGAATGGCGAGGGTGGACCCTTTTCAGTGGTGAGTGGAGACAGGACAAGGGGAAACGGCCGGAAACTGCAGCATAGGAAGTTGTGCACCAATGTGCGAAGGAACTTCTGTACAGTGAGGTGACGGAGCACTGGAACAGGCTGCCCAGGGAGGTGGGGGAGTCTCCTGCTCTGGAGATGTCCAAGACCTGCCTGGATGCCGACCTGTGCGACCTGCTGTAGGGAACTGCTTTGGCAGGGGGTTGGACTCGATGAGCTCTGGAGGTCCCTTCCAACCCCTACAATTCTGTGATTCTGTGATTCTGTGATTTCAACCCCTGTGATTCTGTGAATCCTATCACTGTGTAAATAAACAGCTTTTACTAGCATACTAGTGCTGTACCTCGTGTCTGCCTTAGCAAGGTATCAGCAAATCTAACCTTTCAGCTGTATATATCCTCCTTGCTTTGTTTTGTTTTCCTACCTTCATTGCAATTAACTTCCTAATGGCATTGCAGTCTTGCTGTATGCACTGTCCAACCAGTTCTGTGGCTTCCAGTGCCTTGTCTTTATTCCTTTATACTGAATTGGAAAAGCTGTATGGCTGTTGGTTTCAATGGTGCTTCTGTGCTGTCAACAGCTGCTTCTGAACATCTGTCAGTGGGCTTATAAAGGAACTCAATTAGGGTAAACGTGGGGCTGCCATCCAGATATCCACATCAGCAATGCTGAAGCTTCTTCCACAAATTACCATGCAATTTGGGTGCAAGCATAGCTTTATTGATAACTATTTTTTTTTTCCTCCCCAACATCTCAGGAAAGATATGCACCAGTATTTCAGCAGTGACTCTTTTATAAAGTAATGGTAACAAGAAAGCTACACTTGTTAGTGACTTATGGGACATTCTTTTCTTTTTCACAGATACTGTGTTTTTCCATTTGCCACCAAGATGTGGGGACCGAACCACAGTATATGGTGTCTCCTGCTACAGGCAGATTGAAGCAAAGGTAACTTTCCAAGCTATGAATAATATTACTGGAGTAATGGGCTTAATGCACTAATGATTCTGAAATTCAGTGGCTTGTATTAACACCAACATTCAAAGTACATGATCAGTTTATTTTTAAAACTATGAAAATGGACACAGTAGGTAGCTACAGAACTTGAGAACTATTATTTCCTTTATGTCAGCCAGCATATTTTTATTTTTTATTTTTATTTTATTGTAGTTTATTTTTTTTAAATCCAAGGCAATTGATAAATGTTTTGCTTTTTGAGAACAAACCCAGGCATTAGTCCCAAGTAGCAAAACTGACAGTTGCTCAGGCTGCCAAGTCCTGTTGCCAGGAAGAAAGTCCCTTGGATGGAAGCAGTTTAAATTTCTCTAGTATGTGACTGAAGAATTTTAGGGTATCTATTGGGATCATGCAAATCTTCACATACCTCCTTTGCCTAAAAAAATGCTTGCATGGTAAATCAAAATCTTGCCATTCATTGTATGCAGCTCTATGTAGGCACCTGTTACTGAATTTTTAGCAATAAAGCTGGAAAAAACTGGTGAGAGCTACAGTGTGCATTTAATTTTCAAAAGTAGCAGTGGCAGTAGTCTAAGTAACTACAGTTGAGATGTTATTACAGATCTCTTGAAAAATAAATAATCACTTCTTTTCACTTGGCGTGCCAAGGGTCTGGAATGCCATGTGGACTTGAGAGTTAATTAGTTTTGTATTCAGAAGATGCAAATTTTGTACCCTGTCTTTAGCACACCTGAGTTATATTTCATGTTTTTATTTATGCTATAGGAGAAATTTTCCATGTGTAGGTTTTAATTCCATTTCTCTTGAACTTAACATTGATTTTAGCATACTGTCTTTCCAGCCAGTCCTCACATATATTCTTATTAATCTTGCTTTATTTAACTGTACAGTTATTTTAACATGGCTTGATTGTGTCTTGATTTCAAGTTTATACTGTTCACTAACGAATTAAAATGGTTGTTTAAATTGTACTCTTTGGAGAAAGTAGAATGCAAAACAGTGTGTGTTTCATATAACAGCCTGAGCACCCTTTCCATCTGGCTTTCTGATGTGTGGGCTGCAATCTACACACTGTTTGTGCAGTTAGAAGAATCACTGCTGCATTTCTGCCCTTACTCTTTCTAGTTTAGCTCTTAACTACTTTAGCCGTTTGGTCTGGCTGAGAATGGAGTTCCTTCTGGAGATACTTCCTTTATTTTATGGATGGTTTAGAGAAAATCCTTGAGTATAAACTATTTCCAGGTGAAGACTTGACAGCCCAGTTCATTTTCATAGATAGTACTTAGAGAAGAGCTAGCTGTTGTGGCTGCTTCTCTCCAGGTACATTGCCCTGCATTAAAAATGCCATTGCCTTTTCCAGGGCTGCTTCTAGGCTATTCCAGGACTATTTACTCATAGTAGTGCCTTCCAAACAGTCCTCTGCCTGTCATTACAGCTGTATTTGGATTTATGCTGTGCTCAGTGAGTTGACAACATAACTGCAGAATCAGTCTTATGACTGTAATAGGTAAAAAATGTGATTTGGGTGTTCCCCCTCTGAAGGCAGGGAATCTTAGGATTTTGTTTAAATAGGGAATATGTGGCATCTTGACCTGTGAAACAGTTGTTTTTGGGAGTGTGTTTAGGTAAATATGCTGTTATGCTTCTATTTCTTAGGCATTAAAAGTACGACAAGCAGACATCACCCGAGAAACAGTGCAGAAAAGTGTCTGTGTTCTCAGTCAGCTGGTAAGAATGTTCAAATCTCAAAACACTCCTAAATAACGTGTTAAATATTATTTGTTCTCCATACTTTTTTCTGGAACTTTTGGCTCTGAATATGCTATTTTTTAAATTGTTGCTGATTCTTAAGCACTACTATTTCTTTATATATAATAGGAGTTTGAGCTTAGGTGTTATTACTGAGGGAGTGCCTATTATCAGCCATGAAAGAGGTTTTAAGATGATCACAGAAATAGTATATTCTTCCTTTGAGGGGGCTTCTTTACTTGTTACTTAGCAAAAGCTATTACTCCCCAGGCAGGGAGTGGAAATTTTCTGTGCTTAAAGCTGAAGGAAGAGCTGCCATTACAGCTGCATGAGCAGTGTTTTAAACAGGAAAGTACTTTTCTGGAAAGATATCCAGTGTCGGTATGGTATATACAAGTGGAATCAAAATGGTTTATTATCCTGATAGTGCAGTTAATCACAATAATTTAAAATGAGCACAGACAAAAGATGTTGTAAGTTAGCAGCTAAGAATTCAGGTCTATCATTTTCCTTCTGTGAACTCCGTGTGTAATAAAGTGACTACACTGCAAGATCAGAATGGGAGAAGGCTGATGTTCAAAGCAACTGGACTGATTATTTTTTTCACTTGATTTTTCTTTCAAGCCTTTGTATGGGTTACTCCAGGCCAAGCTGCAGCTCATTACTCACGCCTATTTTGAAGAAAAAGACTTCTCACAAATTTCAATTCTAAAGGTAACTTTTAAAGTAAAAGCGATACGGAACAAAGCCTGCAGTGTATAGCTACAGACTTCAGTGTTTTTAATTAGTGGTTCTGCTCAGGTATTTCATTTCCATAGGTCATTCAGCTATTCAGCTCTTCTAATACCTTAGAGGACCTATATGACCCCCATGGCAGATTACAAATTTGATATGTATTGAAATAGAAGAGTGAGCATGATATTCAACCTGTATCTCCATTGACTCTTAATAAAACATGACTTTCTTTGTAGAGTAAGGCATTGAAATCCTTCAATAAGGCAATTTTTTTAACAGTGGATGTTGTACGACTGCGTACCATTAATGACCTTGTTTTATTTTTTGTGTTCATACTTTTACAGGAACTTTATGATCATATGAATAGTTCCTTGGGAGGGACTTTGTTAGAAGGATCACAAGTTTATCTTGGTAAGTGGCTTTTTTGTACAAGTGGCAGGGATAACATTGTGCTAATCAATGTGTTCCCTTCCTTAGCTGATTTGCTTATGTACATTAACAGATTAAACGTAGAGGTGAGTGTGCCTGCACAGTATTCTGTTATACTTCTCCTTAGGGATTTAAACAAATGTCAAATAAGTGCAGTGTTGCTTTCATAATAGAAGTTAGTCGTGGGTTAAAAGTCGTCGTACTTCTTGACCTGTCAGTCTGACAAATGTCTGCTTAGCTGTTTTTGGAAAACAGTACTTTCTTAATTTATAGATGATATTTTGGGATGCTAGGTCTTTCATCTGTTATTTGGGAAATCTCCTGTTTTATTCTGACTCTTATCTATGTTTTTAGAAAGCACAATGTGGGATTTAGTTCACTGTTTCCATAATGCTGTTGCAGCCAACAGGAGTAACTCAGGGTGTGACTAAACATGTTATTGTCTCCACTGTCATTTAACTATTTCACCTGCACAAAGGAGAGAAGGTACTCTGAGTTCTGCTACTGAAATAACCATGGTTCACATAGAATGCATAATGGGCATACCCCCCTTCCCCCACAAAAAGTTGACAGGAATTAGTGTTAGTATCTCTACTAGCTATAAAGTGGAGTAATTGCAGTTCCTTTGGTGTCTCAGGTCTGTCTCCTCGGGATCTTGTTCTTCACTTCAGACACAAGGTAGGCTTTTTCTGCTAGACTTATAAAATACAGCACTTATTTTGAGGAGTAAAATGCTTTTTGAAGAACTGAGAGATGAATGTCTAGACATACCTGAGCTAGAAGTGAGATTGCTCCTTAAGTGTTTCTGGTTACAGTCTCCTGATTTTTCGTTTCCACCTACAGGTCTTCTGTAAAAGTAAGTTCCATAATGAGAACTTCTGTCTGTCTTTTGGATTTCTTGTGGATTTTTAGGTTTGGGTTACAATTCTTTAGTCCTGGCCTAAAGTGAAAGTGGTATCTCAATTATGGTCTTGTTTCTATTTCCTGTGCCTTGTCAAATAAATATGATGGAAGAATACTGCTAAAGTCATTGCAGACACTTGGGATATTTTTCCCAATATGTAATTTTTGCAGCTCCTGCCACCAAATAAACTAGTAATTTCTCCCATTGGCTTTTCTTAATGGCTGTTGAAATTGAGTTTGTATCCTATAGCAAAGTTACAAATAGCATTTGAAGTCTGTAACTGAGAGGCTTCAAGGAGAGAAATTTGAGGTTCTGCATTTAATGGTGTATGTGTGCATGCTTAATACACTTCACATGTGTGCTGGTGATTGCCCCAGAAGTGTCTCCTTTTCTTTGGGTTTAAAGAGTATAGGCAGCTCTGATCTAGATGTCTTGTCTGTAGATGCCTAACATTAGATAAGGTGAATGCTGTTCCTGGAGAAGTTGTTTGGCTCAACCTATTTCTGTAATTTTGTAAAAGAACTTTTGTGTTTATGCAATTTTTTTTAAATTCTAGAATGATACAATATGTTCTTCCTTCTTTATAAGCTTTCTGTGACTTGAATTACCAATCATGAAGTCTTTTTGTGTGTGTGTGTTTCAAATGTCGTTTCAAAGAGCTCTAGTGAAGAAAAGGTATTCAAACACTGGTTGGTTTTTGTTGTTCAGGTTTGATCATTTGACAGTTATGCAGAGAACTTTTGAATAGGATAAACTTGCATGGTAGTTTTGATAAATGGCACTGCCTCATTTGCTGTGTTTTTCCTTTGTTTTTCAGGTCTTGATCCTTTTTAAATTGATTCTTCTAGAGAAGAAGGTACCATTTTGTAGGCTGGGGCAGATAATTGAAATAGAAACTTTTTTTTTTTTTTTTTAAATATGAAAATATGTAGAACATACCAGCAAAAAATTAAAGAACAAAAATAGTTAAAATGATCTGGATTGATGCTCAGCAATTTTACAGTGCAGATCAGGAAAGTATGCTCAAAGTAACTTCAGTGTGTTGCTGTATAAATTTGCTTCTGCTGCTGTTACATGCATTCTCTACTTTTATTAGTTGCTGTGAAGTAAAATGCAATTAAATGTGAGTGGGGAAACTTAACATCTTACAGAAGACAAGAAAAGATGTATGGGATGCAAGTAGGTACTTATGCAAAGAAATGGGTGGGAAATGTTGAGACCTAAAATGGAACATACAGCTTTACAGCTTTCACTAAGAAGAATTTTTGTTCTGTTTTAATTAGACATACCATACAAAGAAACCTGTGCAAGGAATGTCTTACAAACCTGAGTTGTGTGAACAGCTTTAGGAGACAATGCAAAGAGTCATTTCTGTTCAGTCATGCTGAATTGAGAGTGCAGACTTGTTTTAAAACAACCAACAAAGAAACAAACAAAGATCTCTACTTAGAGTTTGCCTTGGGCTACAAAGATATTTGTTTTCTTGTCTTGGGGTATCAAGAGATAAACAGAAGAACTTTCAGTGATGAGTGTCTATAACTCCCACACACTTTTTTTGCAGGAACTTTTTGTCTTAATGTTTAAACAGAATTAAAAGAACACTTTCAGTTCCCCCAGTGTCATATTCTTTTCTATGAGGACACCCAGCTTCTTTAGATTGGTGAGAAGGAACGTAGGAATTTCCCATTAACTGCAACTGGAAGGCCAGTCGGATCCAGCCTACAGACAGCAAAATAGCTGAGTCTGTGGCCTAGGGATCCTTATTAAGGCAGTGAATATGACCTTCTAAAACAGAAGTACTTGAATAGAATGTGATTATTACATAGTGGGATTGCACATATAGAAATGTATGTAGTTAGGATGGAATAATGCAAGCTCTTTCCCTCAGATCCCATCAATACACTTTGTCTACAGTGTTGTTTTTTTTTTTAAGCCATATATAATATATATAATGTATGCACTTATATATATTTATATATATATGTAATATACAAAAAAGTATGCATTTTTTTCCGTTAAAATTTTAAGCATCTCTGTTGATCTCTTTAAAAGCTGAATCTGTTCATATTTCATCATGACAATTCAAAACTTACTGAGCTACAATTTTCTGATCTGAATATCTGATCCTAGTGGGTTATTTTCTGAAGCTCAAACAAATCATAAATGCACAGAGTGGAGAAGGGAGAAGTTTTTCCAAGCTCCCCCTAAGCTCCACCAGGCAGACAGCACTCACTATTTCAAAAGGAGGCGTTTTGGTTTTCTGGCACTGCCTGTTTTCTGACAGATGTGAATGTTCCAGAATAACTGGGGAAATTTCTATGTTCGAAGCCCTTAAATATAACGTGCAAGAAGCCTTGCACATTGTAGTAATGCCAATTTTCCTTGAGCTGAAAAATGCCTCCCTTCCACGAACTGCTTTCCTATGACTCCTGGCAATTTGATTGATGCCTTTCCACAGGCTTTAGAAACGTTTTTGCTATTTGTTTTTTTTCACTTCACAGCTGTTACTGGGCTAGGAGACTTCTTGCATGTGGTGATCATTTAAGTTTCTGCTGCCAGGACCACCTAGTTTGCTGATGTAGATGTTGTAGGTCATGAAATGTGGAGGGGTAAAGGAATGTGCACCTATGCAGATGGAAAGATGGCAGAGGGACTTGCTGGAACTAATGCATGAAAGTATTGAAAGGCTTAAGTTGGCAAGTCCATCCAAACTGAAGATAAATTTAAGTAAATTTCCTGAAGACAAAGGGCTTCTTTATAGACTTAGTTATTTCTGTAGTCTCAAAAACACGTTTTGCTACAATTACATGGCATATGACAACATCAAACTGGAAGGGTATTGTAGGATTCCTGCTGCAGTTTCTTGCTATTGCATCCCGTGTTTTTCATATTGACCCGCACCTGAAAAGAAGCTAGGAACTTATGTTCTTAAGTACTTTTCACTAAAGTTAATATCAATCATGTTTTCTGTTTCTGTATACTCAGTTTTTATCATAGGAAGATACATGCATGCTGCAGTTATCCTAGATTTCATGTACCTTCCATATATTTTCATGGAGGGTTTTTTTTGCCAGAATTCTGGAACGGAGATTATTTGGCCTCTTTGATCTAGAAGAGACACTTTAATGCACTACAAATTAACAACAACTTAGGTAGAGTGCCAGAAACAATTTCTGCCTGATCAGATTTCTATGAAGTTGATCCAGTCAGCATGCTGGATTGATAAGACCATTCAGTCAGAAAAATCTGATTGTATGTTATGCCCACAGGCACATACATACAATGTATATATCATAAATATTATAAAGTACAAGTATACAACATGTGTATTCAAATAGTTAATGTGAGCTTTTGTGGGTAAGCAGAATTCCTTTTTTAAAATAAATTCCTTTAGCAGTTTGTGTTCTTTGTTGTCCTCAACTGTAGTTTTGATTTATTTTTTTAATTCCCTTTTGTCTACTTCCCCTCTGCTCTTTTTGTTCTATTATTTTTATTTTCTATTTTTTCCCCTCCTCTTCTGCCACCAGGTGCTGTTTTATATTTCTCCAGTAAATAGATTGGTGGGAGCTTTGATGACTGTCCTGTCATTATTTCCTGGTAAGAAGAGAGCCTTGAACTTCTCAGTTATTACAGTGTGGTTGTATGTACCACCTTACAAGGGGAATAAATTATATGAAAACAGAATTATGTTGAAATGCTGCCTGAAAAACAGGATAACTTGTAGACTTATGTGTGCATTGTGGGCCTCCTAATGCCTCCTAATGTTGTTTGCACCATGTGAATTACTTCTTGTGTTTAATTAAAGCCACTGGATCTTCTTTATTAACTGTGGGTAACATAGATGTGACTCTGAATTAGCCAAGTTCCTTAAAAATCAGAAACTTTCTGCGTGAGCTTCTGAAAACAAAACAGATAAACCCATACGTAACCTTACTAATTCTTAACTTACAGCCAGTCTTCCCAAAACAAAAAGTTGAGGTAGGCCTCTTTTCTGAAAGGAAGGGTTTTTTTGTTTGGTGTTTCTTTTTGTTTGTTCGTTTGTTTTCTTTTTTTTCCCAAAGTAGTGTAAAACATGTGAGTTCCAGTATCCACACAGTGGCACTTTCTTCATTGTCTTTAACAGAAGTCATTTGGATTCATATTGAGATGCTGACTTTTATGTGTGATGTCACTTTGCAGGTATGATTGAGCATGGTCTTACTGACAGCTCACACTATAGACCCAGAAAAAGCATATCAGAGGATGCTGGCTTGCAAGAAACTACACCGTGGTTAGATAACTCAGCTTCTGTGTCTGCTGGTGATGTTTCAAACACGCACTTGGGAGCAGAGAAGGGAGGCAGGAAGATGGCAGGAAACCATTCGATGGAAGGTCAGAAAGCAAACATGCCTTTCTCCCAATCAGAGAAGACTTATAATGGAGCTCAGTCCTCCAATGGCACTGTGCAGCATTTAGAAGTTCCTTCCCGCACATCTCTGGAATCCTCTGAAAGTGACTGGGAGACCTTAGATCCTAGCATTTTGGATGAGGCTGCTATGAAAGGAGAATGTGAAAAAGCAGCATCAGAACAGGTGGAAAATCGTCCAAGTGAATGCCCGAGCTCGGAAAGTCTTCCAATCACTGTGCAGCCCCAAGCCAACACAGGACACGTGGTGCTTGTTCCAGGACTCATCTCTGGGTTGGAAGAGGACCAGTATGGTATGCCGTTGGCTATTTTTACAAAGGTAAATAGGTTGTTCATGGTATCTGGTAACTCAAAAGGACTTCTCTTTGTCAGAGTTGTCTTGTAATTTATGGCTAACTGAACTCCAAATACACAGTAGGGTACTACAGAGCGTGGAGGCATGGTCTCTGACAAGTGACTGCGTGTTCATACGCAGGAGGAAAGCATGCCTGTGCGTCTAAGGGATCTGGGCACGTGCATTCCACTTCTCTTTCATACATACACTTAGTACTATTTGCAGTTCTACAAGACCATAACCTCTTAACCCAGCATGGTTAATGAATGGTGTGTATCAGTAACTACTGTTTTCTTTTACTCTGAAGAATTGTTGATCTAATCTGTATGGGTTGAGATCAGAGTACTTAAGTGTTTAGACATGTTAATCCAAACTAATTATAAAAGCTGTATCTTATCTGTCACCTAAGCATATTTTCCTTTTTTTTATGTGTATATTTTTTCACATTTCCTTGTATGATAACTGTTCCTGGTTGTGTATGGCTCTTCCCTGTGCACAGTGCTGAACTGCTGAGCTTCAAGCTTTCGCTGAAAAATGCCTAACTGAACTCCAGGTATTCCAGAGTTTCCTTATGGGCTCTGATGGGCATTGTTAGTTAACAAGCAGTTCATCTACTGGGACTGGTTTTCTGTCTCAAATGGAAAAAAGTGCCTCCCCTTTAAGGGTAGCTTTGTTAGTAAGAGAGATGGTATATATTTTTTTTGTTTTCTTTTTAATATGCTGTTTAAGCAGATGATTGAGATATATCTCCTCAAGCTGATGAGGTTACAGAGGCATTTCTTCCTTTGGAGATGTTTATTTGCATTTTGTTGCAGAGTGTTTTGTTTAATAATGGCACTTGAGCTTCTTGGAATACCTTTCATTGGTAACAGCACAAACAGAAGCCAAACTGAGCAACTCAAACGTTATTTTCCCTATATTGCCTCAAGTTCACTGTTAGAGAAGGGTTTTCAGCACGGAACTACAGTCTAGTGTTTGTCTGCATGATCTTATCTAAGCAACAGAACAGCCTGTAATTTGTGTTTAGTTTTAGTTCTGTTGAAAATACTAGATTGAAAGTAAGAAGCAAGTGACTGATAGGATGTCCTATGGGAGCAAACTTAGTTTGCTACTAAGCTCATAAAATGGAAAAGCTAACAATTTGAAGGAAGCTGGCATTTTTTGTTTACCTCCTGTTCCACATAGGCACTTTTCATCTGAGTTCATCTGATGTAATTAAAACAGAAATGGCTCTACATCTCAAACCTACCAGAAAAATCTGATCATAACTTATAGTTTAACTGCTTACTGGAAGTTGGAATCTTTTAGAGCTCTCTGAACACGTTTGTGCCATGCGGTGGAAAGACTAACACATCTGACAAATGTGAAAAGGCAGAAATTTTGTGAGATGGTGCAATGATGGATCCAAGTGCACCGCAGCACAGAGAAACATAGGTTGTGGTGCTTGCTTCCTTAGTAGCACTTCTGTAAGGTCTAAAATCCATTTAACTTTCACTGTTGTTTTTTTGTTTGAACATGTTCACTGAAATAAACATTGTTAGAGTTCTACAAGAATGTGAATTTGGGAACTGACCCTTGATCCTTTAAACAGTGAATGATTTCTAATTCAAGTAGCAACTGCTGAAAAGCACTAGCTTCCTCTGCTTGCTTATTAAGATGTATTTTCTAAAAAAAAATTACATTTTAGGTTGGTGATTCCATCTCAAAACACTGTTGGTTTTTTTTCAACACACACAGTTTGCTTTCAGATGGTTGTCATCTAGAAAGCCATCCTTGCATCCAGTATAACAAGAGTGTAGCTGTGCTCCTTTCGACTGTATGTTTCCAGTTACTGTGTGATGAAGTACATGTGCCTTTTAATTCTGTCCAGTATACTGGGAGTTCATCTGGGTTACTTGTAGTGAATAACCCCCTCTATGCCATCTGCTGCTGGACAGCTGGAATTAAGACTTGAGTGCTCAACTTCATGGTTTTGCTCCTCCTGTATTATAATTCTCCTTCTAAATAACTACAGCTGCTTCACAAGATCTCTGATTTACTTACCTCAGAGCCATGTCACTCTTCTTAGTAAGTGTTTTGGGTTGCTTTTTTTGATATCTATTAAATTGCAGTGTGGAATACGAGATTTACATAAGCATGGAGTAGTAGAAGAGCACGGTGCATTGCTTTCTATCCTGTTCTTTTAAAGCAGGCATGCGTGTGCCCATCAAAAACTGACTGCTGGGAGATTTCCATCCTCCAAATGCAGATAGCAGTTCTGTGTGTTTCTAATTCTCTGACACTGTAGACCTGAGACACATCAAAAGCCATCATGGTATGCAAGCAGAGGGATCAATCTCTGTCTCCACTGAGTTCCCATCTCTTAACTAACCTGAGACCTCATCATCAATTTATGTTGCTTAATTTGTTCACATGTAAACACACTTGATTCCATTCAATTTGCATTGTATTGTAGTTTCAGTCCTGAGACTTGAAGGCAGTACAACCTCTTGGAAAACTCACCAAGTGTGGAATGTGGTTGCTTTGCTTTGAGGATGTGATGTAGTGAAATTATAGTAGCCTGAGTTGTCTGTACTGGGTTCAGTGTGGCGGCTTTTATTAATTAGGGGAAAAAAAATCTGAATATGAACCAAAAAAAAAAAAAAAAAAAAAAGTTTGTCTGTGCATTAATCCTCTAAATGTCTCTGTTGCTTTAGGGATACCTTTGCTTGCCATACATGGCACTGCAGCAGCATCATCTGCTGTCAGATGTGACAGTCCGCGGCTTTGTTGCCGGAGCCACCAATATCCTGTTCCGTCAGCAGAAACATCTGAGCGATGCAATTGTGGAAGTATGACTCTTTGTATTCAAGCTTCTTGAACACAAGAAGAAGGGGGGGGGAAAAAAAAGGGTTGCATTTTGAGTGTATGATTTCATGCCCAAATTTTGAATTGCTTCTCTGTGAATAAATTCTTAAATGCTGAAGCTTGTTCCATTTGTATCAGGGTAGGACATAACCTTTCCTGTGCAAAAGTCATGTGTCTGTCTTGATGTTAAGTATTGTATTTGAATTTGCAGATTCTTTGTTTAAAACATTTATTTTGTCACTGGTGTAGTTCTACCTCTCGTGTCGTGGTTTTTTCTCATGGCTTTGTAGTAAGTATTCAAAAATCAGTGCCTGCAGTTAAGGAACAGTTGAGAATGCAGCATATTAATGTTGACTTTGGCTTGATTTAATCAACAGGGCAAACAATATCTAAGAAAGCACTGTGTCTGCTCTACTAAGTGAATACAACTATATTATCAAAATTTGATATCCTGAATAGCTACATGTTGATAATCAACTTAATAAATTGAAATGCAAATCAGTGAGCCTCTAAGAAAACACGTGTGAGCACCAAACTTCTCTTCTAAATCTTGTCAAATGAGCAGGCTTTGCTATCCGCCAGGAAGATTATCAGTTTCAGGTTGAACTAAAGCAGTATCTGACACTGACAACTGTTCGTTCAGAATTTCATTGGTCACTTGTTTCTTTTCTATATTTGTTGAAACTGCTGGGTTTAGATTTAGGTAGGTTCTCAGTATACTGTGCATGTAAGCAGTTCTGTTTAGGTAAATTTTTACCCTTGGAATAATTTCAAACAGATAGAAGATGCTCATGTACAAATCCACGATCCAGAACTTCGGAAGATCCTGAACCCTACAACAGCTGACCTCAGATTTGCAGATTACTTGGTGAAGCACGTGACTGAGAACAGAGATGATGTTTTCCTTGACGGCACCGGATGGGAAGGAGGAGATGAGTGGATCAGGGCTCAGTTCAGTGCTTATCTTCATGCACTGCTCGCTTCTGTGCTGCAACCAGGTAGAACAATTGCCTTGTCCAGGGCCTGAGATGAGGGTGGGTTTAAAAAGTATTTGCCCTTTTTTGTTTCATGTAGCCTGTCATTGACAATCCCTCTGTCTAAAGTTACACTTTTAGGCTGGTTTTTTTTTTTTCCAGTTGTCCTTCACTCTCTTTGTTGTTCCCTGACAAGATTATTACTAATTCTTCACAGCCTTACAGACCTACTTTTTCTTTGACTATCTCCTTATTGATTTTAGTTAAGCTTTCCCTATCAGCAGAATCGTGTAATGGCCTGGGTTTAAAAGGACCACATTGATCATCCAGTTTCAACCCCCCTGCTATATGTAGGATAAGGCTTTTTACAAACTTAGATATCCTACAGACTTCAGTCAGTTTGGGGAACTAATTGGATTCAAGGAGGCATGAAGTGGCTGTTTTCAGGAGGTTTTGCTAGGCTGTCCCATCTCTTTCCTGCTGCTGCTGTGCTCTTGAGTAGGGATTCGCTTAAGCTGAAAATGTCAGCTTGAGGTTTTATCAGCTTTTGTTCTCTGGAGCTCAACATCTTTGTCTCAACTCAGAGGGGATTCTGTATGTTCCAGCCTTTCATGCATGAACATAACTAAAATAATCAGTGGCTTATTTGTGGAAGCTTGCCTAGCACGAAGTCTGTTAACTTCATCCTCTTCTTCTACTCTACTTCTCTTCTCTTCTCTTCTACTGCTCTCCCTTAACACCAGTTCAGTAACTCAGTTCCTGTTCTGTGGTATTTCTAAGAAACCATGGGGTTGAGAACTTGAATTTAAAGTTTTGAAGATGCCAAGTTCTTTGTCTGGCAATGTCAGTGTTGTAAGATGATCATGTGGTTGATAATGGAATGGTGGAATTTTCCTGAAATTCTACTACTCTGGCTCTAAAGTGTTTTCCCATAATTTCCCATAAAGGGGATGGAGGGGATGTTGTGATAAGTTTATTCCACAGTAGCTTGCGTTGCTGTTTTGGAGTGAATTTGAAGTTTACTCAATTGGGATGAGTGTTAACACAGTACAGCAAACCAAATTCTATCTCATCAAAACTAATGCAGGTCAGTTCCTATGAGGGGGATCCTTTTTTAATCCTCTCCAGCGGAGCTCATTGAGAACTTTGTAAATTAATTAAAGGGAGAAAAAGATGGGGTTTCTTTTTTCTTTTTTCTTTTTTTTTTGATTTCTTGTTTTGTTTGAGCGACTTTGAGAGAGTTAATAATACTACTACTACTACTACTAATAAAAAGTAATAATAAAGAAAAAGTAAACATTTTGAAGGGCCATTTTGCAGAGCAAAGTATGATTGGATGAGAGTCTGGAAAATCATAGCTTTTCTGCAGAAATACAGTTTTTCTTGTATTGCATCCATAACGAATTGCTACAAGTTAACATCTTTAATTCCTTAGACAATGACAAGACTTTGTCAGACTTTGGAACAGCCTTTGTAGCAGCCTGGAAAAATACTCACAACTACAGAGTATGGAATAGCAACAAGCATCCAGCTCTTGCAGAAGTACATTCCAGGTGAGAAACTGAGGGGATTTTTTTAGCATTTCATATGAAATGCTCCTGTGAGGAGTAGTTGGGCACACGGTGTTCTGTAGAACCAGTGTCCTGCTTGTTCCTGTTACACAGCCCTGAGGGCTTTGTGACCCTGTGCAGTAAAGATTCTGTGAGTACAGAAATTGAATGTTTCTACTTTTCAGGGCCTTGCTCTAATTCTGGGGTACAGTTGTATGAAGAAAACTATATTCAGAGTCAGGAGAAGTGAAACTTATTAGTGTTAATTGCTGGCTGTCCCCAGCTGTAGAGAATTTGTCACTGTCCTCAGGCAATTCAGCTTTTCATGAGTTACTTCCAGGTTTACAAGGGAATGCATGGGGTTGTCACTGATGGGGATGGAGGGAAGCTGGCTAATTTATGTTGCATATTCTATTATTTTGGTTGTTTTGTCTGTATTTCCACTCCAAGATTAGATGAAGCCAGACTTGTAGGCTATGCGTATGTTTTGTTTAGCATGCATTTATGTTGTACTGCAGGGAGTTTTGTTAGCTTTCATTCTCGCTTTGCCAGCTGATGTATCTGAAGGAAGTTGTTATTCTTCAGACCTGCAAGGCTTTTTTGGTCTGCCTAAGAGATTCTTTTCCTTTTTGCATTCTTTGTCTTAATTGGAAGAAGTGTCTGCCTTAGTGTGAAAAGGTTATTAATACCTGCTGTGAAAACAGGAGGCAGCTTACACATGGATTGTAAGAAAGCTAAGACTGAACAATCAGTACTGCCCAGCCTTCTGTAAAGTGGTACAGTACCCTGCCTATCAGGGATTGATCAGTTTCTGTAAGCCACAGGGACAAACATAACTAGGATTTGAAGTATGGATTTATGATAGAAAAAATAATGTTTTCTTGGCTTTTTCCTCCTCTTGTAGCCATCCATTCCAGGGACAATACTCTGTGTCAGACGTTAAACTAAGATTGTCACAGTAAGTATATCGTAGTCTGATATGTACTTTTTAAAATGTGCAGGCAAATATTAGTAACAGCACAGTGCTGCAGTAATGGCCAAAACAAAATAATGGTTCAAGTTGGCCATGTACACAAAACTGCGTTCAAGGTTCTCCTGCAAAAAAATCACATGTGGTGAAGTTGTTAAGCTTTACATAAATGGGTTTGTAGGCCTGAAGTGTGGACTTGAATGTTGCTGTTTAAAATGAGTAAATTTTATTTTCAAGTCATCGCACTCATGCAGTGGAATTGATTTGCTTTTGGGTTTTTCCTTTCCAAGTTAAGGAAGTGTCTTTTATTCTTTTGCATTTTGAACAGAAATATGAATTATACTTGATCAAAAATTCTATGTTAGAGCAAGATACAAAGGAAACTCTATTTGGAAAAAAGAATAACGACCATCGAGTAACACTGTTTTGTTTAAAGCTTCTAGATGTGGCTGAAACTTTGCAAAACCTTTGCAGATCTGGTTTTGGTAAACATTGAGGAAATATATCAGCGTGTTCTGTAAACACAAACAGCTGGATGTTTTGGTCCCTGTTGCTGGCAGTATCTCTTCTTCCTCAGACAGTCTTGCCAAACCGATCTTAGCAGATAAGATGCATAAAACCTATACAAGAATTATGGGCTTGATTTACTCATTTGCACGCGCTGTGGAGATCTGTGTATGGATAGATGTTCAAAATAAGTCTTTTTTTACACCTGGAGTTCATCGGTCAGTTGGCTAACAGTCGTCAGTATCTCTCCTGTTTAGTTCTGTGCAAAACAGTGAACGTGGGAAGAAGATTGGAAATGTGATGGTGTCCACCAGCCGAAATGTTGTGCAAACAGGAAAAGCTGTAGGTAAGAAATTTATTTTAAACTGCTTTTGGATCTAAGCAGTACCTTCTGTTGAGGAAGCATCTGATATCCTCGTTACATTTTATTTTAATCCAAGAGTACTTTATAACATTCATGCAAAACAGCAACTTTACCACTCAAAATGTTGCTCTGATTTGAGGCTGTGTTTGTTGTGTAACAGTGAACTTGAACAGGAGCACCTTGCTCACATTGTCATTTTCCAGTGCAAGAGAATGGAAGATCACCAGTTGAAAAGTCCTACAGTTGTTCTGTGGTTGCTTTGCCAAAAGTTGCTCAGCTTGTTTTTTCATCCTGTAAAAGTCTTGCTGCTCTTCTTTTTTGTTTTTTTTGCTACTGTGTGCTCTGGCAAGGAACTCTTTCCAGCAGCCTTCCAAGGAGAGGGACAGCGTGGTCCATTTCCACTGAGCTTCTGCGTTCAAGTTCTTTGAATGTTTTCTGACACATTCTTCAAGCTTGAGTTTTGAATTCTAGAAATTCCAAATCGGGTAGCAAATGATTTGAATTCTTTTTTTTTTTTTTTTTTACTGGTAGTACTTTTTAAGAAGCTTAGTGAAGGTAAAATTACACTGTTATTTTTTTGTTCTGTAATGCAGGTCAGTCGGTTGGAGGAGCCTTCACAAGTGCAAAATCAGCCATGTCATCATGGTTTTCCACTTTTACACAGTCAAGCCAAAGCCTTGGGGACTAAGTGATGGCTTTGCCCAGTGCTGCTGAATATTTCAGGTGCAATGGTTTCTCTGAGCTGTAAAAGGACTGCTTCAAAAAGTAGGAGTGAATACTACCTATCCGGGACCAAAACAAGGCATGTGTTGCTTTCAAGATGTGGAATGTTATTCAGTTTCACTAGAAGTATAGAATGGTGAGTGCCCCCATACGATGAGATGGCATTTGCTGGATATAAGTTGTATTTAAGATGACTACTTCAAATCTGAGCCTTTATAGAGACATTAGCAAACAAGGCTTGCTGCAAGCCAAGCGTGTTTGACTTTAGATTTGTACATTTTCTTGGATGTTGGAGATATTTATGTAAAGTAGTTATATTTTTCGATCCAAGTAGCCAAACGGTTGTGAATCTTCCTAGAAATAAGCAGAGTGTGACTACTGATTCATCTTCCAGGTTGGGTTAGAGAGCATGTCAGCAGCAGAGATGGGTGGAAGCCCAGGAACGGCTCAAAGCCAGGTATTGCTTTGCTGCTTCCACCTGCAGACCAGAATCAGCAGGGTGCAGAAGAAGACTGTGGCTGACGTTTGAGCGTTTCTCCTTTCTCATCTGTAGCCACGCACGGTCTTCTGCATTCATCTCTCTAGCTCTCTTTGTGTCTGCAAGTCTGCGTAACGATTGCGAAATTGCTCTTTTCTTGGTATTACACAGTGGGCCTTTGTAACAGGGAATGTTTTGGCAGTGTTTTACCCCGGGGCATGAGCAGGATTCCAGTTGGAGAGATCTCTTCATGAAAAGTATTACAACACAATACTCCAAAATTAAGATTGAATCATAGACAGTTTTCTGAGGTCTTGCTCTGTTAGGATATAATTACACCATCAATGTAATTATTATGTATATGAATACTGAGTATTAAAATTACCTAAGCTAGCACAGTAGCAGGCTGCGTATTTTTTTTTTGCCAGTGAAGTTATGAAGACTCTTCCAAATGAAGATTGGCTCTACAGATTTTTTCTGCCTACTCAGGGAACGTTCTATTTGGATAACTCCTTTTTTCATAAGGAAAGTAACACCAGAATTGAGGGAGCAACTGAAACAGTTCAGTTCTTATCCTGGCATGAAGGAATATAATAGTTTGTATGAAGAGATGTGACATAATGCTGTACCTCGTATGGAAAGTGCAGGCAGTGGCTTCTGTACGTAAACATGTTCCACACTGTACATTTCATGCTCCTGAAACAGATTATTTGCTGTCAGTTGCAATGCATGTGCTGTTCCTTCTAGCATCCCCACAGGGTACCGTTTTCTGTGTTGCATTATCAGGTATTCCAGCTTCTCCGTATTGGAACGCTCTTAGTTTATTCCCTTATCGGTATCTTTGTGTTCTGCCATGCTTTTTTCTGGGGCCAAGGTTTCGAGTCGTGGTTATTTCATACATTCCTCAAATAAAATAGCTGTACGTGAGATAAATAAGACAGTTCTAATGTAATTTAACAGGTTCTATTTTCTTCAGGTGCACTTCAGAAGCTAGTGGAAAAGCACAGCTGGATCTCATAGTTACTGTCCAACAGTGTAATTTTCAGTGTTACTGGTTCAGTTAGCAATTCGAAAACAGAAGATCTGTTTTAAAGGGTTTATTAAGCTAAATATGTAAGACAACCACAGAAAACCTGAAAGTGTACGGCTGGCTTGAGTGACTTCATTGGAGATGGGCAAAAAATGCCCCTAAAGCTCTTCTAAATCTACTGCTTCTGAAATACAAGTGAAATACACCTACAGAACTTTATTGCTCCTGAACTCAATATGTATGTCTGTCTTCTAAAACTTCTGATGCTCTTTAATGTCCTACTCCACGACTCTGTAATAGACATTGATATCTTTTTAAAGATTATGAAATACCTGTAGGAAGACCTGTGCTGACATAAGAGTAAAGGTGCAGTTATTGGTGATGATTGTAGAGCTTTCTGATTCAGCACGCAGGTAAGAAAATAATGGCTTGCTTTTGTGATCTTTTTCCCCCCCATTCTGGCTGTCTCTGTTGTGGAGCCAAAAATACCACCAGGTTAAGAGCATTTTCCTTTCTTGTTTCTCAACACAAGGTTGGATTAAGAAACTTGTGTTTATCTTCAATGTTCTTAAGAATAAACTTCCTGCTAGCAAGTTGAATGATGATTTAAACTCAGCAGTGGGTGGAGACGAAGTGATCTTTGTAATAAGTTGTCTTCATTAATAGGTATGTTTGCTCTTTGACACTTGTTTAAACGTACTTTTGGTCTGGGAGGAGGGATAGCAGCCATTGACTTTCATCTCAGTTGATGTAGTCTTCTTCTTAATTTCATATGTGTGATCTCTTTACATAAATCCAGAGTGAATGCAAGCTCTTTTCTTCCCCTGTTTTAAAGCATTATTACTTATTCAAAAGGATTTCTGCAGTCAATTTCTATTTCAAAGGCTCTTGACGTCTGTTGCTGCATAGCAAGAAATAGAGAGCTCTAAATGAATTGGCGATAGCACCTCTAATGAGAGTCAACTGTGAAGGTATTGTTGCAGCTCAGTCACAACGTACATTGCAGAGGTATTTCTGATTGTTAATGTACAGCATGAACTCACCTCCAGATAAGAAAGTGTCACACTTCCCTCAACTTTATGACAAAGGCATCAACCTGTAGCTTAGCAGTATTTGGGGAACTGCCTACTGAGTATACATAGAACAAATCCCCCCAGGTCCACTAGACTAAGTATTGTTGACCTAATATTTCATTTGGCCAAAGTGTTCACTGTTTTTCATCATTTCCATGTCATAGCCTTCATTCTTGAGCACATCTGGCAGCACTTCCTTCAAATGTAACAATCAGTTATCATTTTCAGATCACTCTTCTAGTCCACTGATTTGTTTGTATGTCTGTTTTAAGCACCTTTGTAATGAAATTTAGTATTTTGTCTAAACAAGCTTCTTATGTCCATAGAAATTATTGCTAAGCAGCGAAACTAAAGTGGCAGTATTTCATTGTAAAAGTGAAGGTGTGAATGCAGTTTTCAAACATAGAAACTGTTACTTGATCATTGAAAAATAGAAGCAATGGATTTGAATTTTCTCGTGCTGCTTGAAAATAAATACATCCAGCCTATTTAAAGCTGTGTCTGCTCAAAAAGCTGTGCTTTGAGGAGGTAGTCCCAGCAGAACACACCAGTTTTGATGTTGATAGCTGCTTGTGATGCACTGTCGATCCATTTGAGACTTGTCTTCTGTTTAAACTGATGGTGGCTTAAAGTCCTCAATAGGTCACAGGCATCTTGTGCATCAGTCAGAACTTCAGGTAGGGCTGTGATGTTCTCAACTATTTAGCCTCAAAGATTTAGCTTCAAGATGGTGCGTGGTTCACTGGGGTGCTGAGATCTAGTTGTGATGCAGAGCCAATGATTGCTGCACGTTTCTCTCTCTACAATAGCAGCCTATTCATTAAAGATTGATTTTAAAACTGCTGCAGTTGCTGCAGCTCCACCAAGGTAAGCATGATTTGGCAAGTTACTGCTTCCAGTTGGAAGAAGCTAATTGAATCTGAGTAACATTCAGATGTGGATTAGATAAAGTTTCTGTTGGAAAAACTGTTGAATTTTATTTATTTTTTTTTAAATACTCATATGCAAGTAGTTGTTCAAACATATTAAATTCACATCATCTTTCTGCAGCACAGTTGTACTTTGTTTACCTTTTTAACAAGAAGAGTAACATAGAAGTAGAGAATTCATAAAAAGCAGAAATATGTAATGGTTAGGTGATAGGATGAAAGACAGAAGGAATTCCTTCACTGTTTTTTGTCCTTAATTATTGTAGTAGAAGAGAGAGAGCTTAAAAAAAAAAGTAGGCATAGAGCTTTAGCTCTGTGATGTTTCTGTTCTTGTCCTGTTCCTTATCAAACACTGCACGTACCAGTAGGACTCTCAAACTGGGAGATGGGTCACTTCTGTCAGTGCCAGTGTGGTGGTGGATTTAGTATGATTGTTATTCCCAAAGTGATGTGATCCATGTGTATGACATGGCACAGAGATGGCTTCATCTTGGCTGCAGCAGTGTTAAGTTTAGCTGTTTTGTTGAGCTCTTTATTGCTGCTGGGATTCCAAGTGGTCTGACTGTGGGCGTTTGATAGAAAGTACAATTGTTGTTACTTCACTCAGATCCTTCATTACTGACAGTAATTCATTACAGATTCGTTACCCTTGTGCCCACCCCATCTTTATCATAGGATCATAGAGTGGCCTGGGTTGCAAAGCACAACGATCATCTGGTTTCAGCCCCCTGCTGTGTGCAGGGTCACCAACCACCAGACCAGGCTGTGTGAAAAATTTCCTCTTTCCTTCCACATCCAAGTTCCTGGCTTTATCAGCCTCTTCCATACCTGAACTTGGAGGTGTGCAAAGATGCACAGATTTTCTGTGAACTGCCTCCCTGGATTTTATTCAGGCTGCTGCTGTTTTCCTCCAGGCTGTAAGCTCTGCCTTGCTTTACAAGTTCTTGATCAGTGCTGCAGAAGTGATGTGGTAACAAATATGGAGCATATGAAAGGGGAAATAATGTGAAGTACCAGGCAGAGCTGTAGAGCTTCTTTAAAAAAATTACCAGCAATTGCTCATGAAAGTTAACTTACCCCTCTAATGTTCTCTGTACAGTTTGACACAATTGGCTGCCCTAATTTTGACTATTCCCCTTAGAACAAAAATTAAGCTTTCAATTAGGCACGCAGTTAAACAACTGTAAAAATAAGTGGATGCACTAAAAGTGTTGGTAGAGTGTTCTTTTATTATTTCAGGTACAGGGAATTGAAATTACATAGGACTTAAAGGTATTTCTATCAGAAAAAAAAAAAAAGCAAACTTTTTGCAAATATAGGAAAGCTTGAGGACATAAGGAATCATTAGAACTTGTATGTAAATGTACCTTGTAGTCAAGTAGAGGTTGAGTAGGCTAGCATTAGGTAAGCTTTGTAGTGAGATACTGATTTAGAACTCTTTGAAGGCTTTAATCATCACTGCTCTATTTATAAAATGAGAGCTGCATTTTTCAGCCGCTGTCTTTGTTCCCACTGCAGTCGAATTCGACCACTGGCGACCATTTCCAGACGTGTGACAAGGCTTTGCCTGCAGTTTCCTCCTCTAATAATGAAAAGGAACAATTCAGACTAGAGATTCGCATTTGCCAGCTGCTTTTGTCTGCGGTCAAATACTGACTGCAGCATCTAGTGGTGTAAGTGAGCTGATAGTAAGCATGTCTGACCAAGTCACAGCACTGTTTGACACCTGACTAGTCTTGTCCTTAAGTACTGCATTATTAAAATTAATTTTAAATAAGGTACCACGCAGGCTTACACCAAACTGTTCTAAGGAGTACAAAATGCAGACTAGCAGGACGTCCCTCTGCATTTCAGAAGATGTCTTTAGCTGGTCCCATGAAGCACTGAGTGCAATTCAGTGCACTGTTTGAACCTACCACACTTTTGTAGGGTAAGAAATCATGCATGAGATCTTAAACTTGAATTGAAAGTTCCCATTTAACAGAACACACCTGCTGTGCTCCTTCCCTAGCTGCAGATCATCTACACTTGAAATTAAAGCATGTCTTGAGCCTAAGGCTGCTGTAGTAGCCCTCGATGAAGCAGGCTACTGTGAGGACGATCCCCAGAATGAAGCAGTCCGGTCAGGCTGCAGTGAACAAGATACCACCACCATTTTTGCCAGAGGTCTGTGGTCCTCGGAACATTACAAATCAGCAACACTGTTCTTCTAATTTGTGCACCATTGGACCAACTTGTAACTGGTGCTCCAGGTTACAGTAACATGCTACCAGCGGGAGCACAAGTCACTCCTCCCTTCTTGCCTAAGCAATTCAGGCAGCAGAAGAGCTGATGAAGCAGTAAATGCCAACATCTAATTTGTCACCTTCCTTAAAGTTAGTAGTTTGCCTCTTTCTCTTCACTAGCCAGCATTACTTGTCCTGTAAATCCTTACATTCCACAAAACACCACGACTGGAGATGTGTCACTTTACAGAAGTCTTAGTGGAAGTTTCAAGTTCTGTGTAATGCTGGAAATTAGGTACACAGGTCCAAGTTTTCCGTAGCTTAACTATTTGAAATAGCTTTCAATAAATTAAGAGATACTGTTTGAGGGTGAGGGAGAGGGCGTAACCGTGTCAACTTCAAGCAGAAAGCACACCCAAACTCGGTTGGATTCAGTCTTTTTTAATAAATTAATGTCATTCAAAATACAGTGCCAGAACATGATGCAACTGAACATGCTAGTAAGGTTTGTCATGAAGCACCTGTGTTCATGTTAGGCTGGCGGTGCCCCGCTACTGCTAGTGGTTCCTGGGATTAATGCCGGAGCAGCACGAGTCATCTGCTCTCCTGCACGCAGAGTACAGGATATTCCTGAACTGGTTGCTTCCCCCCGTCCCCCCGAAGTAAAAAACCTGATAGCTAAGGGATATCTATACACAATCACACTACAGTAATGCTTGTTATTAAATTAACAGAAAATAAAGACCTGGTTAATCCACACTAAAACTTTGTTTTACAATGGAAAAATACATCAGCAGCAGGAATATACATGAGCCAATGTTACTGTAATACAGAACGTGGAGGCATTCACGGATTAAAGCTCCACAGAGACCCGCACTATGAGGGCTGACAATTCCTATTGCAAGCCCAGCAACTTAAGTCCACACCTGGTAAACTACCAGCTGCTTGGAAGACCTGTATTCTAAACAGACAGGTATAAGTTTGTGAAAATAGAGTACATGCACCTAGTAGTACAGCTTGACTGAACCTGCAGTCATCTTGCCCTGCACATTACAATACAATGGAAGATCTACCCTTCCTACTGCAGGTAGATCCATGGGATTTGTTTTTGTTTGTTTTTAAATGGCATTACTATACCAACATGGATACTAGTATTAAGTGCAGCACAGTCCCTTAATTAGGCCACACCAACAATTATATAACTAGCACTTGATTAGAACACCCAGAAGTAGTTCAAATATAACTGCAAGGTACTTTCAGAAGAGTTGTGATATCATCCTAGAAACAGTAAATACTTTTTTTTTTTTCTGAAGCTAGTTTTCCTGAAACAGGCTTTACAGAACTAGAAATTAATTCTTTAGACAAGTCAGATGACTAAGATCATGATATACATACATGTTTCTCAATTATCAGATAATATTATTTCAGATTATGGAAGCATACCAGTTTATTTCATCAATTCATACTGAACTGCTGCAAGTATTTGGTAGGGCATAAAAATACAACTCATGAAGGACCGACTGGACATTCTTCTTCCCAGACTTCTCACAATCATTTATTTCAAGGTAACCAACCATACACTGAATGGGTTGCGCAGTCTAATTCTGGAGCTGTACAGGTGGTAAAGTAACCATCTCCCCATCCAGATCAAATTCATCCGCTCCATCTGGTGAGAAGAGATACGTTGGAGGTTTCCAGGGGGACTCTTCGAGGCAAGATGGATACAGCTTTCCTACAGTGCACCGGAAGTCCTTGCCCAAGTCCCACAGCACGCGTTCCGATATGTGCTGCCTTAGAAACCAGCGATCGAGTTCCAGGTCGTACTGATAGGTGGCATACCTCGCTCTCTCGTTCATGTGGGTTTCTCGTATGAAGACACACAAGGAGTTGGAGATGACAACGGCTCTCACGCACGGGTCAGAATAGCGCTTGGCAGGGATATTAGCCGCCATTCTCCATTCGTTTTTATTCACGTCGTAGATCTCCACAGTTACGGAAGACCCGTCCACAGTACTGCTTGGGAGCCTTATGCCAGAGTTGCTGGCGATGTGGAGTCCTCCGATGTAGAATATTTTATCGCCAAAAGCGGCAGCTGAAGCAAAACATCTGCTTGTTTGTCGCATAGCCATTTCTACCCAGGCATCTGACCTGGGAAAGTAACAGTACATCAAGTTGTGTGCCATGACGTAAATGCAGTTGTGAACTGCTACCGCCGTGCTCCACTGCCACGCACAGGGCAGCGGGCTCACCATGGTCCACTCGTCCTTTTCTGTGTCGTATCTTTCGACCGTTCTCC